TTTTTTAAATTGTCTCTTATTACATTATTTCTAGGAGTCTATAAAGAATTTGCCAAACATTTAAATGTTTTAAATTCATTAATGATAGTTAAGTATATTCTACATTATGTATATGTAAATAAAGTATTCTAATGCAAATATTTTTAGAAAATATATATTTATTAGTAATATTTAATGTACAATCGTGGTAGGACATCGTCCTTAAAATTACAATAAATTTGTTACATTATTGAGCTAATAAAACACTTCTCTGCGCTTTAAATTATAGATATATGAAATAAATAATTCATTTCATATCTTCTCTTACAAAATCACACCCATTATCAAATATACAAACATATTAATTAAAAGAAAATTTATGTATCAATTCGTTGAATGAAACAACAAATACATTTTATATTATTTAATGCCGCCCAATGTATAATAATGTGGTATGTTTCTTCAGRATAATACAGATTTCTTCTTTTCTACCCAGATCATGTGCTACTAGATTATTCCTTTAATCTATTCTTCTTTTACGAAATTGTACAAGAAACACTACAAAGAAAATTAAATTATTAGTTTGTTTCACTATCTCATGTAAAATTGAAAAACCTACAATTTATTATTAGTAGTATATGTTAGAAAAGATATTAGAAATGTTTTAGTATTTCTTTTTTATCAACGTACCTTTAATATATTGAATGATTTATATTTAAAATGATGGCAAAAATATAGTTAAATCTTAGAAAGCATGTGAAAAACTTTTATGATCAATAGAAAAAGATTTTCTGTTAATATTTTTTTCTTCTCCTTTATTCTTGTGAAAGTAARACATTCTTTCCATAGTACTTATCAATGGCACTTCTACTTTTACAATATATATCTTATTTCTAAAGAATAGTTWTCTCTACATTACTTATTGCCAGTTGATGCTTAAAAGTGTTCTCAATTACCCAATACAATGCTTGGCAATATACCTTAAATATGTTAGGAATATCTTAATGTAATAGATTTCCTATTTGTCTTTTAAATTTGTAAAAACTAGGATGCATTCCTTCTTCAATTCTTTTCATAGAATATTATAAGACATGGTTTCTTTCCAAGGTGAGAACGGGAAACTTTCCTTAGCGTCTTCCAAAATCTTTTAAGTTTACAGTGTTGTTGGATTCTGCATATCGTAGTAAAAAATCATACGCTCTCTATTTCAGTAAATTAATTGAACACCTATGAAAAAAGAATAAGTTCTTTAAAGTTTTGAATAAATATTTTATACCATTGTATTACAATATTTTGGYTTCTTCCTAATACAAGATAATAATGTTTGCCTTTTAACAGATCCTTTTCACTGCTGCTGCATTCTATTTGTATGATAATTCACATGGCATCTCTATAAAGAAGAAAGAAGTTAATACAAGTCTTTGATATTTTCTAGTATGTCGATTAACAATAATGTCTTTCGTTACCTGATACAACGTTTGGCAATACATTTTTTACAAGAAAAGTATTCTTATTATAATGTATATTTCCTATATGTCTTTTAAATTAGTAACAASTAGGATGCATTCCTATTTCATTTTTTTTGATAGAATACTACTGAATGGTATTGTCGGATTCTTCTTATAGTTATTGAAAATAATGTGCTCCCTTTTCCAGTAAAATGATTGAACATCTATTAAAAAAAATAAGTTTCTGAATGCTTTGTATAAATATATTTTTTATGAGAGTAGTATAATATTTTTTTTTAACTTACATAAGATTGTTGTCTTTACTTTTAAACGGTTTCTAGTTTTGATGATATCTTGTCATTGCATCTGCACTTTATTTGCACAATATTTCACTTGGAATCCTTACGAAGGAGAAATTAGTTGACACAAATTTTTATAGCGTTAGCCTTAAGAAAATTAAATATAAATCCATTTGTCTCATGGGGGGTGTAACAGGGACTTCTTCTCTGATGTGCAATAGTTTTTAGTTGGAATTTAAAATGCAGAGCCGCATACATATGTAAAACTATCTAAGAAATTCATATATAAAATTTAACAAATTTAAAAAGCGAAGCTGAGTCCCATGATGTGAGTTAAAAAATAATATAATATATATATTTTGTTGGGTAAAGTATTTTAACTGAACAAAATATTGGTATTTTACTTACTATTGTTTGTTATAGTAACTGGATAAAAAGAATGTTTGGAATTCATGGGTATTTTA